ATTCAACATTAAGGCAGCACAGGAGCCAAGCTGATAATGACCAAACTTCACTCACTAGGTGCTTTGTACCACCTATGTGTTATTAGCACTATTATCTTTACAAACAAGCAAGATAACAGCTGGAAATTCTGCACTGCTGAACTTCACACTTCCATTAATCTACTGGTGTTTCTAATATCCCGAGTTGAAAAGTTTGTTTGGGGAACGATGATGCCTGGAGGTATCAAAAAGGGATAATTTCTATTGCAAGAGAGAAATGTTTGACAACTACAAATGCAACAGAGCTTCCTATGCTGACATAAGGAAGTTAATTAGGATCTTCTAGAAGGTTATGAGCACCTTACAGAACAGAATTTATTTTGTGCCTATTTAAAATTACCTCTTTCACAGTTTCTTTTGCAATAAAGCAGCCAGATCATTGGAAAAGAACATAAATATGACCCTGAAGAGGAAAATTATTTCCCTGTATCACTATGGGGCTTGTCAAGTTAAACTAAACAGTTTTGTGCTTCACTGACATATGACTTCAGCAAGCTAATAGGCATCTCCATCTGAAAAGCTGATTTCTGGAAAATATCAATGTTTCAGCAAAATGACAGAGCCTCAGACAAATAAAGAAGTTTCAGAATAGCAGGAGGTAGGAGTCAGGCTGTTAGCTGCAGCTCTGGGCCCCAAGGGAGAACAGGGAAGGTACTCAGAGTAATGGAACAGAAAATAAATGCACTTGGAAAACCTCCTACTGACCATTTCATACCAAGCAATTGGAGATATTCTTAACAGGACACTACAAACCTCTGTCCTACCATTAGTTTGATTACTACCCTTAGTGGGACTTGTACAGAGTATATTTATTTATTTCTGCAATTAATAACTTGTCAGTGGCAATGATGCTGTTGGTGCAGTCCCATCTGCAGGCGATGCTGCCAAAATCTCTGTGTTACTTCTGGAAGAAGCAGGTTGGTTAAAGGTACCCAGAGACCTAGTGAAGCACAAAAATGAATGCAGGAAAAAGTCCTGTGCACTGGCAGGAGCATTGCTCTGAGGTTTGTCTGTTTGGGAGCAGAGGTTGTGTTAACCACACTCCACAGAATGTTTTCCTTAAGCTCTGTTGGTCGAGGAGTGGGTGTGTGGGGAGGGTTGGGATGAGATGATCTTTAAGGTCCATTCCAACCCCTCAACATTCTATGATTCTATGGCTGGAAAGAGACTTCACAAACCTCTGTGTACGTGACTGTGAGCAAGTAGATGGATGTACATTCCTGCCAAACTCCAAAAAAAACATGAAGAAACCCAGACCCAGCTGACTGATAAGTCCTGATGAGTGCTTGATCAGACACGGTCCTCATATCAAAGCATGCATAAATGAATACTGCATCATCCAGACAAGATCCTTCACTTCAGTGGCACAGATTTACTTTGATATCCACTGGGATGAGACAGGGAGACAGACATACCTTTCACAGACTGAAATCCATCCAGGAACACAAATACTGGATTTTTCTATGTGCCACATCTCTCAGCCACACACAGATGAGGAGAACAGCTCCCCAGTCAAAACTGTCAGTGTTTCAGGGCTGTTCCTTTGCCTCCATGACTGCTCAGGGTCATTTGCATGGATGTGAGATGTGTCTGACCATCAGCAGGAGGACAGAATCCTTGCTCCGTACCAGAGGTGAAATAGTGTCATGGCTAATGAATGAGCTTTATGTTTCCCCCCAAAGGAACTTCAAGCTGTTTCCTATTTTGAACTCATAGATCCATTCATCTTCTGGCTTTTCCTGGTCTTGACACTGATTTCCTCAGCTGACATCAGTGCAGCACATGTGATGTGATGACATTTTCTGAAAATACTTTTTTTTCTTTACCAAGGAAGCCTCAAATAAAGCAATACAAACCCAGAAACAAACCCAACAAGTGGAACAACTGAAGGGTAACCACAACATGGAAGAGGAGATCCTACCTCAATTGATGCCTTTTGGTATATCATTGGAAACTTCATGGATCTTTATACTAAGATATTCTGTGATATTCTGACACACAAGTCTTCATTTTCTTGACCAAAAAAAGATCCACTTAACAGCCACAGCATTTGATTGTTGTGATTTTAGGTTACCTTTTGGCTGTATTTGCAACTGTAAATCTGGTTATCAGAAGCATGAAATCCCAGGCAGATGGGAAGGGAAGCCACAGATATCACATGTCAGGAGCATTAGACACAATGTTTAAGTGGATCTGGAGCTCATGAAAATGGCGATGAGATAGAAACTCGTCCTCTGAACAAACACAGCAAGTTTCCTCACAACACCCTGTTAAGAGGCTTCTGAACTCACATGGAAGGACCTCTGGATGTGAAAAGGTAATGGGGTCTCTCCACAGTGAAGTCAATCCTTGACTTGTCTCCAAGATTTCAGTAATAAAATAAACAGGAATGTTTGTGCTTTCTGTGGTAGCTCAGATACTTATCCTATTGCAAAACCCCTCATCCACCAGCTCATAAACCCATTGGAGAACCTTCCGGGGGTAAAAAATTAATTAGCAATCTTTATACTTTAAATTCTTTGCTCAAGACATTTTCTTTTCAGATCCCTATTTTTCTGCAGTTGGAAAAAGAAAGGAAATTTCAGCCCAGCCTGATGCCTATTCCAAACTGCTGACTAGCCCAAACATTTTCTACACCATTTTAATCTGTAGATTTATTACACAATGGACCATTTTGTCAAACCTTTCTGGCTGTGGCCACAACTCTACAGAACTCAAATTGTGCCCAGCAGTACCATCAGTCTCTTCAGTGGGTTTCCAGCAAGGAAAATAAATTCAGTCTTTCCACCCCTCTCAACTCCACAGCATTCCTTGGTGTCTCCTTGGTGCTTAAAGATGTGCTTAATCCCCAGCTACAAATATCCTCGTTCCCAACAAAAATAGCTCCTGCAAATGAGACCTTCACAGTAGTGAGAGGATCCCTGGTAATCAATTCCTTTAGAAACAGAGCCTGGTTTTGTCCCATTCACTTATATTTCAAGCACTCAAGTCATCCAAGTGCCACTTTCCTTTATGTAGCTTTGCATTTAGCCTCTATTAGGTGCTTCCTTTCATTAACTGGCTGAAGTGGCATCATCATCACTGTGTCAAGTCCCAGTTAAGAACAGAGGATTCTTTGTCCCAGCACAGAGAATGAATATTGCATGAAACAGAAAACTCATCTCCATCATCTCCATTTCAGAGGCATTCCCCTTCCTGAGGAGCTGAATAACAGGGCACTGCAGACACAGGAACAGTCACTGCTCCAGAAAACTATCGTCTGCAGAGCTCAGACAGCCGAAGTATTCAGGAGAAATGGAGTGGCTTCTGGTTCATGCAAGGTGTCACAGTGGTAGCACCACTGAGGCTGTGAGATGTGTTCCCATTGCTGTCCTTCCCATTGCTCCATCTGGAAGATGTCTGGAAGGACACTCACTTGGCCTGTAGATCTTATCCCCATTCCAAATCTCACCACTACATTGCAGCAATACCTCAGGAGAGTCACCCAAAGTGCAACTCCATTGATTCCTCCAAACCATCTACACATTTAGGGATCTAAGACATTTAGCA